AGATTAAGCTAAATTAAATATTAAATTAAATTAAATTAAATTAAAGCCAGCAGACATAGATTTCTGCTTAGACTTAGATTAACATCTTTTATTTGAATCTTATAATCTCTATACTGTAATCCAGCTCAGTGAAAACTCAGGGGTCAGTGGTGAGGGATATACGTGACACTCGGCAGTCGTCTCAGGTAGAGTTAGTTGTCACAGAAAAAGGCAGTTCACATCCTTTATAGTGCATCAGCACTGCTCGCTTGCGCTCATCACCCGTCTCTGCCCTATACATGCACTGACATTATCAAGTGTTAGACATCCCATAATACAGGCGATCTGTGGTTCAACTGCAGCTAACAACCATATTGTTAACTGATAAATTGCTGGTACAAAAATTGCCAACTGATAAGCTGCTGGTACAAATGAAGGTTATTGGTTAAAAAAATGAAATACTTATGTTTCGTATCAATATGGCGATGATGTGCATGCATTTGTAATGCGTAGGGCCCCCGCCTGGTCCCTTCAGAGAGGCACATTTCTCTGGTAAAGCATTCCTATGATTGATGTCCCTCAGAGACTTGTGGGCCCTAAATATTACAGAGAGCGCAACTGGCTCATGAATGCATGCCGTTATAATTCAACAGTGTGAAAAGTAATAAAACTGCTCAGGCATTTATGGTTGCAGAGCCAAGGCTCTTAATGGCTTTTTTTTGGGGGGGGGGAGGGGGAATTTGCATGCATATTACAAAACAGTGATGTTGTTTCATGTACATGCAGATATGTACAAACCCATGTGTGTTTCCATATACTGTACTGTCACAATTTTATGTTGTAATTTGATTTAATTTCTAAAACATCTGATCAACAATAATGCACGCTTATTTGTATGCAGAGCAGAAGCATTACTGTATTAAAGTGACAGTACACCCAAAAATGACATTTTTGTCATAATTGATGTGTTTAAATCCATATTTTGCATTCAAGATTAAAGTTTTATCTGTGCATGCATTGCCTGAGGGAACTGAACTCATGAGCTTGGTGTTGCAGGCACCATCTATTACTTTTTGTGCTTTCTGAGGAGACATTTGTGCTTGTGGGCCCTAAATATTACAGAGAGCGCAACTGGCTCATGAATGCATGCCGTTATAATTCAACAGTGTGAAAAGTAATAAAACTGCTCAGGCATTTATGGTTGCAGAGCCAAGGCTCTTAATGGCTTTTTTTTGGGGGGGGGGAGGGGGAATTTGCATGCATATTACAAAACAGTGATGTTGTTTCATGTACATGCAGATATGTACAAACCCATGTGTGTTTCCATATACTGTACTGTCACAATTTTATGTTGTAATTTGATTTAATTTCTAAAACATCTGATCAACAATAATGCACGCTTATTTGTATGCAGAGCAGAAGCATTATTGTATTAAAGTGACAGTACACCCAAAAATGACATTTTTGTCATAATTGATGTGTTTTAAATCCATATTTTGCATTCAAGATTAAAGTTTTATCTGTGCATGCATTGCCTGAGGGAACTGAACTCATGAGCTTGGTGTTGCAGGCACCATCTATTACTTTTTGTGCTTTCTGAGGAGACATTTGTGGAGTTTGGCACAAGCTGTGTAAATCATCTAAAGCCACTGTATGGAAAAGAGCAGCTTGAACATTCTGTCAAACCTCTCTTTTTGTGGTTTACAGAAAAAATTAAATAATAATGGGGATAGAACATCATAAATAAAGTGCATAAAGGTTGATTTTTATTAGATTTTTTTATTTTAGATGTATTGATTTATTGTTTAATACATTTTCATTTTAATTTAACTGTATACATTTTTAATTTATAATTTTCCCAGGCCTGCAAATCACAATTTTAAAATTGAAATTTTCTATGACCATTGGAGCCCTGAAAGAATGAATATGAAAGAAAGAAAGAACAAGAAAGAAGTGGAATAAATCAATAAATCTTTGATGCTACATTTCTCCGGCTGTTAAGAGTGATAGTAAATAATGACAGAATTTTCATTTCTGCTGACTATTTCTTTTTTAACACAGAGACACAAGATCCTATCTAGTGAGTTGAAAAGGTCCAGCTTTTTCATCAGTGCAACAGAGGTCATCGGTCACCAGAATGTTTTATATCTAAGGCAGATTGTCTGGTTTTGTTATCATCAGATTGCACGGTTTCTCATTCCTCTGCTATGCCAACAACACCTAATTGCCTTCACCTCAATGGCCACACTGAGGAAATCTCAACAAGGCTCTTTGACATCTCTGCTGGATGGCTGTTCATCAGCTGTGCTCTTGGCAAGGCTGAGTACCTAAATTCAAAGTTTCTTCCATCCCTGTTGAAGGTCATTTTTTTTCGTCTTCTTGTTTTGTCTGCCATTGCATCGAAAACCCTGGAGTCATACTGGATCACGCCACAGAAACCAGCTGATTGAGCAACATCACAAGTCAAATTTAAGAATGCTTCATAATTCATGTGGCCTTCTGCAGCTTTAGTCATTGTCAACTACATTACGGCAAATGACTCACTACTGGTTTGACTTTAGCGCAACGCAACCTTTTACAATAATTCACTCTGTGGAACACACACAAAGATATTCTGAAGAATGTTAATGCTGTTCTTTTCCAATTAAAGTGAATTGGGTTGGATGATGCGACACTCCAAAAATGACAAAAAGAGCCAATAAAGCACCACAAAAGTAGTCCATATGACTTCTGTCAAATCTTATGTCAAACCTGGTGTGATTTGTCTTGATGCACAAATTTCCAGTATACACACACACACACACACACACAACTAAGCTTTGATAGTAGTTGTATTACACATGTTTTACATATACATGTTTTGTTCTACAAAATAAAGTCATATAGGTTTGGAAGTATATGAAGGTGTGAAAATGAAATGGTCATTTTCAGCCCAAAATGTTGCTGCAAACTTAAACAGGTGACTAATAAAAAAACGACTAATCTTATTTCCCCTTCATTCTGACCACACACACTATTAACTAATGTCTCCGTGCTGCCAAAAGCACTACGATCTTGTTGGCACTATGTACTTACTGGCAGTACAAGCTTATTGGCGCTCCTTGGCCTTATCCTTGATTTATATATTTTGCTATTAACGCAAGTATTAGTCAAACCTAAAATATCCACTTTTGTATGATAGCATAAGCCAAGAAAATACATTTTCTCATTAGCTGGTCCGGTGATTTTGCCTACAGCTGTCTAAAGCAATGCCTTTAACCTTTGACAAGGTGGGAAATTCAGATTTGTTATTTGGTCAAAATGAAAATATAAATGGGCAATTTCCAAAAAACTTAGACCTAATTCTTCACAGAATTAAACAGTACATTGTACCAAGAAAATTAGTTTTTTCTTAAATTACACAATTTATTTAAATACTGGTGTGTAAAATAGGCAAACATGCATATATAATTATTTTTTAAGAAAAACATATTATTTTAGGTAAAAAAAAAAGCTGAAATTAGGCTTTTACAGCCATGAAATTCAAAACCCAGGCAATATCCTTGACTGCTAAATGTATGTAAATCAATGTGAAATTGACATGTCCCTCTGTGATTAAATCCTTTGGACTAATCTGTCCATCCCACAAGAAAATAACAGTCATATTTCCCTACTGGAAAAGCCACACATGGTTTCACTTAATAATAAGCCTGTCTGATTCAACTTGAATGAGATGTTTGTCTCTATTTGCAAGTTAAATTAAATAATAATAAATTAATATATAAATAAATGAAGAAAAAAAAACATTTTACAGATTCCTGTACACTTTTTGACAACTAGGTTACACTCTAAAAAATGCTGGGTTAAATACAACCCAGCGCTGGGTAAAATATGGACAAACCCAGCGATTGGGTTGTTTTGACCCAGCATTTGGGTTACTACCCATAAGGTTGGGTTAAACGCTGGGTTTGTCTATATTTTACCCAGCACTGGGTTGTATTTAACCCAACATTTTTAGAGTGTAGACTTTAAAAACCATTTTATACATAATGTACATAAAAAGTGATTTCTGTTACATAAATTACTATTTAGTTCATTTAAGATTTTATTACTTAATTTGATATTAATTAATTTGCTTATTAATTTAATAAGGCTTGCAAATCACAGTTCACTGAAATGTTCTGGTTTTCTATGACCATGGGAACCCTGAAAGAATGAATATGAAAGTGAAGTGGAGAAGTGGAATAAATCAAATAAATCTTTGAAGCTACATTTCTTTGGCTGCAGAGTATTTTAAGAAACATCATGAAGACTGTTCAGAAATGTACAGGATTTCATCCTGGCCAACACAAGCTAAAAGGCATCTTTTGCATTACAATGGAGATATGGATGCTGAATTGTATATAATTCACCAGTAATACCGTAATACAACAATTCACTGATGCAAGGTCATAGGACTGAGTGCTTTCCAAGTATTATAACCATCAAGTCAAGTTCTTTCTCTCAACAAATAAGGGCAAAATCTGCCTTAAGTGCAGATTTGGACACTTACTAATACCAATATAGAGACATTGTACAGAAAGCCTCCATACTTAATCTATAAACTACATTTATGTTGAGAACTGCAAGTCCGAGTCATGCTCTAATAGATTTCTGTAATGATTTTATGAAGATTAAAAAATACTCAAAGTAAGTCCAAGCTTATTAGGAAAAATGTCCATTCAACTTAGTCTTGTCTATTCAACTGGCTAATAAGCTGTGAACGGCTACTGTTAAACCAGGTCAACGAGTCACTGACAGGATTTCATGGCATGATTCGGTTAAGCCGGTGAGAAACGGAGAGGATTCAGTGCTATTGAAGATAATCCGATTGTAATTCTATGGTAATGGGTATCATTTCAAGCACAATGTGTTGAGCATTAGTCTGGAGGAGAGAATGTGTTTAAAACTCGCTGATTCTTACGACAGCAGAACCTTCTGCGAAAAAGCACCAAAATTAACATGACAGTAAAGTGAAGACACAGTAAACAGCTCTGAGTTACCTGGATTTCCCTGGCATGATATATGATAATCAACCCAAGAAGAATGATTGTAGAAAGGCTTATCAGGCATTTTAGGGCTAAAGAATACAGTGACTCCTGAAAAAAAAAGGAGAAAAGGACAAATTCAGCTCATTATGGATTAGTCGGTTTAAACATACACAACAATTGCAAAACGATTAAACCTATAAAAAATATTATTGCAACACATTACTGTTTTATATTAATGATTCAGAGACTTTTGTGAGTGTTTGGATTAAGTTACACCTTCCTGAAAATATCACAACATAAGCACTAATGCAAGCACATCGGAGACCATTACATAATTTAAGTGAAATTTGACTAACCTTCCATGTGGCAACATATTTACCTTCATTTTCAACATACTGTATTGACAAAACAATATGTCATTTTTAAGACACACTATGATTGATTTTCCTGGCGTTACTCTTACAGGGGAGACACGTGTGGGGATGTGTTGCTCGGATTGCACTATTAAAGTCATTCTGAAGCAGATAAACAGGTGCTTTTTGTTCACAGATCAACCATCTAACATAGTTTTACAATAAATCGAGAAAATATGAATGTTGTCAATTGGAATCTCTGTGGCAAAATGAATTGCAGTAATGCATATCCTCTTTGGGACTTTTAGAGGCATCAATTATTTATATTACTGTGATTATTTAATTATTTTAAAGTACTTATAGAAATAATAATACATTTATGCACAAATAACACAATTATGGTTCAATATTCTACAGAAAGTCCAAGAAGAAGAGTGTACAATTGACTCTAAAAGTGATGACAGGCTAGACTTATTACAGCAAAAGATATTTAATAATTACTAACTCAATTTGAGTTTCTAAGACTAAGAGTTTCAAATAGATTAATGTATAACAGTTAGTTCCGGTAATTTGATTGGTCGAGCTTCCCAATAGGGCCTAGTGGTGCTATTTATTATAACAACATTAGGAAGTTTCACTGTTTGCCTGCGCTGTAAAAAATTATCGTGATTTTAACAGTAAAAGACTGTAAAAATACTACAGTAAAAACACGTTAACTGTTTAACAGTAAGTTTCCATACTATAAACGGTGAATAATTATGATTACATTTAATATAATTTACAGTGAAATACTGTTAAAATTACAGAAGTGAAAAAGAACAAGTCATTGTGTAATTTACAGTGAAAAACCGTAAACTGACACTATCAGAATTCCCTGCATGACACTTCTTTTATCTTTTTTTAGGTTTTATCTTACATCTAATGTTGTTAAATGAATGTTTATTGCATTGTTTCAGTATAATATGTTACCATGATGGTGTTTAGTGTTTTGTGTGAATGACACTGTGCACCTTCTACATATATACAGAAGTATTTCCCTCCTCAGCTTATGGAAAAGCTGTTTGTGATGAGCTTTCATCATGTGACTTTCTCATCACCACCTGTTTTTGGTGATTGTCAGTGCATTTCAATGGCACAAAACTGATATTAGTACTTCAGTGGGTTGGTATATTAACATTATATCAGTTAATGAAATACGTTTTTTTACTGTAAATTTAAGTTAAGTCTGTAAAACCTAAAATGATGGCACCATACATTTTACAGTAAAGTTCTGGCAACCACAGCTGCTGGTATTTTACTGTAAACGTTACCGATTTTATTTTATTATTGTTGTTTTTACAGCGTGTGTTTGCTTCATTCCAGTGTTTTCTTTCGCAAACAGAAGCAGAGTTGTGTAATTTTGCATTCATTAATATTAATTATGTGTTTATTGAGCTGTTTAAATATAATTTCACCCGCGGTCAAATCACAGAACTCCTGCTTGTGTGATAGTGCTTGAATATGCCGTTCATAAAAAAACATAAATTGTAAATAAAGTTTAAGATTTTTTGTTATATTGGAACAATTTTACGTTGCTAAACAATTCCAGAGAGGAAAACTGACGAAGCAACGCGTCTTCCAGTAAACGTGACCTTGCCACAGTTTTTCATTCATCCATCCGAACCGCGCACTTCCCAAACTTGCAGTTTTCCCCCTCGCTCGCCAGCAGGCAGACTGGACTTAATTAATTCTGACCTATGTGGGGGGACCTGCAGGATTTGGGGACTATTAGGTTACGCACCTTTCCGTAGGCTCCCCACGAGAGTTCAGTTTCAATGACCATCACCACGATGCCAAACATCCCAAAGATGAGCGCGTAGTCGCTCAGACGCTTTCTTTTCTCAAACAGGGCCCTCCTGTGCCCAAGCTTCTGTCCAATGTTCTGGTTCTTCTTTTTGCCCGATTTGCTGCCGCTGTGGCTACATCCACCCCCTCCACCTCCGCCTCCTCCTCCCCCGTCCCCCGCCGAGTAAGGCATGAGGGTGGTGGAGTTGTTCTCCGGCTTGGAGGCGAGCGTGTCGGACGCGTCCGCCGCAGAGACGGGCTGCAGCGGCTGGGACTCCGAATCAAACTCGTGCAGGTTTCTGCGGGACGAGCTCAAGTTGCTGAGCGGCCGCATCACGCCGCCGTTGTATCTGCAGCTGCTCATGGCTATTTGGGTGTAAGAGTTACTCTCTCGGTGGCTGCTGGCCAGACTGCCCCGAATTTGCTGCCGGTTGAGATCGCGATGAGGATGATGATGGTGGTGATGATGTCTGGATGAACTACCATGACTAGAGGGCGTGAACTCGCTGTACTGAGCGCCTTGCCTGGTTGAAGATGAGACGGACGGTGTCCTTAAAGTTCCCAGCGGCGTCCCGTGCAAAGGCTGGCTTTTTCTGGCATCCTCGCAGGTGGAGGAGCTGTTGCAGGTGCAGTGCCTGATGGAGCGCTCTTCCTCCCGTCCGCAGTAGTGCTGCTGGTGCTGCTTATAGTGCTGCTGCTGCTCTGGATAGAAATCGTTCTGCAACTGCAATGGGGTTTCCATCTCAGAGCTGCTGTTTAAAGCAGAGCCCCGTGCATTGCCCTACCGAGGGGGCGTTGTGATGAGTAACGGAGGATAAAAGCTGGCGCGAGGTTGGACCCACCTCGGCTTCTGTAGAAGCGCGAGCGCGCTCCCGATTGGCCGAGGGACCCAAAACAACTGGGCTGACGTCACGCGAGGAAGGTGGCAACATGCGGTTCAAATGTGCAGCATTCACAACTCACTGTTTACTCAAGATCTTATAGGTCTTTGACTTGTAAGGCATAATATTTATGGTGGTTGCTATATGAATGCGTGTTTCACAATACATTTATTTGGATTTCTTTTTAAATGTAAATTAAATGCATATAGAAATTGTAAAGATTTTTTAGAGGGTTTTGTTAAAAATTATGTTACACCATCAAAATCTGTCAACAATCACGCAATCATTTAAAATTTTTTTTTTTAAATCACCGAGCTGATCTGACATATGCATAACTTATTTTTAAATATGCGCAATTAATATAGTCAAAATAGGAGCATTTAGCTTCATTAATTCAATACTATGAACTACATTTTTAAAAAATTATATATATATA